TAATCATAATATTGGGTTTTAATTCTTTGCTCGTGGATATCAGATTTCTGAAATTCCTGCAGTCCTACTCTCCATATTCTTTGCTAAGGTTTAGATTTTGAATGACGGAAATGAAAGAGCTTCGTTGAGCAAAAAAAAAAAAAAAAAAAAAAAAAAAGCCTTAAAGTATTTTGAATGGACTTCAAAACTCTTAGGGGCTGTTTGGTATGCGGATTTAGCCGGATTTAAGGCCGGATTTTGGCGAAGTCCAGCCAAACGGCCTAAAATGCAAATCCAAATCTCACGGTAGCTGGAATCCGCGGTTGACGGAAAAAGAGCGCTTCTTGCGGTAAATCCCGGATTTCGCAAGTCCACCGATTCGGTGGATTTAACTTGTTATTTGCGGGAGAGGAAGCGGATTTAACTAGCTATTCGCGGGAGAGGAAGAAGACAGAAGAAAGCCCAAACAATTCCAGCTGTTTTCTTATCTCTTCACTCGCTCCTCTTCAGAACAGCTCACGCATCATGGTCGCCCATACGCCCTCGTCTCTACCTCTCGCTATTTTAAGCCCATTATTCAGTTGCTTGCTTCCGCACATCTAGCAGAAGCAGTCGCCTGTAGAGGAAACCAGCGGCGTGAATCGGCAGTAGGTATGATTCCTTTATCTCATATCTAATTTTTTTGTTAGTATATCAACGGTTTAGGCTAGTATTTGTCTGAAATTTCCCCCTATTTGCATGTTGTCCGTTTGTTTGCCGTTTCATGATTATCGGCAGCTGTTCGAACATGCCTATATTGTTTGTGTTGTGATATTTCATTTGCTAGAGTGGCGTGATGGTACGACATTGTGTTAGTAACATGACACCTGAAGAAGATGTGAATAGATTTACTTCAAAACTTCTGTTTTGATTCTTTGCAAAACCTGTAACTTATACTCAGATATGCCTATTTGATATAATGGAATTGAGAATCATGCATATTTGCACCTGAATTCATTATATGGTTAGATTAAGGTTTTGTTTGAGATGACTTTCTTATCGCTTCTTAAAGCGGTTTTTTACTAAAAAAATGTATATTTTTATACTAGAAAATTCTTTTAAGAAGCAGAAAGAAAGCCAACCCAAAAAAGCCTAAATTTATAAAAATTGAGCTATTAGATTTGATTATATAGTACAGTTGGTTTAAATCACATAAAAATGTAAAGTAAATAACTAAAAGTACAAACATACAAGGTAGACTTCATGTTTTTTGAAAATTATTAAACATCGATTACACATTAAAATGAGTGATGATTGACGTCGTGATTGTTTACTGTCATATATTGAGAAAGATGTTGTTGCGGGCTAGAATATACGTGGCGGTAGAGAAATATAAAATTAATGTCTTAGCGTTGTACGAAAATCCGGCACGCAATCAGATAAGAGAGAGTGTGTAGCATTCATATCAGACACCAATATTTTTACGTGGAAAACCCCTAAAAAGGGGAAAAAAACCACGGGGCCTAACCCATTTTGAATGAATCCACTAGTATTGCAGTTGATTACAAATGAGGCCCTTCCTTGGGAGAATGCCTTATCTTGATGTACATCTTATTGAGTACATTACATTATGAGAATACAAAGAATCACTATTGACGTGTTCGTTTGGTCGGCAGGACCATAGTCTGGTGAGGGAGGTCAGAAAGGCTGTAGCCTACGAACGACATAAGTCAGGAGGACCGTAGTCGGCTGGCGACGGAGGTCGGAAGGACCATTGTCTTGCGACGGAGGCTGGAAGGATTGTGTCTGATGATGAAAGTCAGAAGGACGGCGTAGAAGTCCAACAATGGAAAGAAATCCATCTTCGGATATACGTCCAGCGAAAGTCCGATAACCGGGAGAAGTCCGGCGTCGGGTAGAAACTTGGCAAAGAGTGAAGGTCGGACGTCAGGTTGAAGTCCGACGTCTGTTGGTGGCCGAGGAGAACTCCGACATCAGTTAGGCGAAGTTTCGACGTCAGGAGAGAACTCTGTCGTTAATTGAGAAGAATTTCAGCATGCCGTGGAAGTTGGGCAGAATTCTAGCGTCCCGTGGAAGTCGGCCAGAATTCTGGCATCATTTGGAGTTTGGGCGGAACTCCGGCGGTGGTCGAGGAGGAGCTGATTCTCCTCCTTCTTCTCTTCTTCTTGGTTGAGTCCCCTCTTATGAAGAATGAGTGCTCTATTTATAGTTTTTTCTGTAGTGGCGTGGCTTGTAAATAGGTGTGAGATCATGGGCAAATAGGGAGTGGTCGAATGGATGACTTATATTGAATCCTTTGATCGTGCACTATTCATTGGACATTTGAAGGCCTTAGTGATGTCGGAATTCGGCGATCTTGGGCTCGTTGGATTTTTCTTCGTCGAGTCGCTCGATTCGACTATAAGCTCGTTAAAATCGGAGACTGTTTGGTAACTTAAATTGTGGTACAAGCTTTCCCACAGCACTTCAGGTGCTTGATTTGGGCTCATTTGGGCTCGGAATGAGTTGAATTTGGTGTCGTTGGGTTTGTATTTCTGAGACGCTCAGTTTGACTATAAGCTCGCTGAAATCAGAGTTCAGGTGCTTCCGGATTTTATTTTTGAAGTTTCCAGGTTGATTTTTGCCTCGAGATTCATGCCCGATCAAGATAATTTCATGATGACATATCAGATGTATTTGATTTTATTCGAAATGAAATTGTAATGCAACATAATTAGAATATATAAAATATAGAATGCAAAGTTTGTATATATATTATGAGTTTGCTCCCCTAAGAACTAAGGTCATTTCCTCCATTGTAAATAATTATCTTCAATTGTGAGGAGTGAGATTCTTGTATCTCTCTTTTTTTTTTTTTCAAATAATTTATTCATCAATAATCAATAATCTAATAGTCCATACAATCATTCTTTATCGATGAAAAAAATAAAAAACAAACGCTAAAATAAAATAAGGATGAAATTATTCTTGTACTTATACATTTAATCTAGTAAGAAAAAAAAAGCACTACAAAATTTGGCCTAAATTGATTAAAGATTTAAAAAAGCGTAAACATTGGTCTGATTCAGCTCTTATGTAGCCTCATTTGACCCTTATTTATAGATGAGAAAGTAGAATTCCGTGTAATTTGAATGAACAATCATCAAACAAAAAAGATACGGCGTTAACTCCCACTAACCGCAAGGAATTCCGAAATAGATAGTTAGCTATAGTATAATCAACCAAGAGATCAACAACAAGATTTCACAATTCTACTTTTATCATATACGTATCATTTGATAAAGACGATTTTTCATTTTATCGAGAATTTGTGCTCGACATTTTTCCCAAGTACAACTTCACAACATCATCGTATGCAGATGCAATAGAAACAACAAGCTCAATGAAAGTAGTTGTTGTAGTAGAAATCCCACCTCAAGCTTTAGGCACAATTTGGAGAAAAATCAAGAAATCCGCGAGCAACAACGTCATGTAAGTTACAATTTTTTCTTTTAACAAAGTTACTCTATCCTATCCAGTTTGATTGCATTGCACCGCTTTGGTCAGCTCCGAAAAAAAAGACCTAGAATCCGAAGAAAGCAAAAAGCTTAGTGACTTACGCTAGCCGAGATTATTGCATCTCTTATTCTTTAGTTTATTATTACAATAGGTTTAGCTCTTGAAGTTTTTTTTTTCCCTTTTTTTTCTTCTTTTCTGTGTAAAAATTTTTTGATCTCCTACAAATTTTTCTATACATGATAGATTTTTAACAAAATCAAAATATTAAATACCAACTCAATCGTCATAGAAACCAAATCATTCAAATTGATTTAAAAAATATAAAGATCAAACATATTTTAAATCTTATGCATTGGCAGTTAAAATGAGCATATTGTCTGCATAACTTCAAAGAAATATAAGATTCTGTGAATCCAAATTCATTAGGGCAAAAAAACTAGTGAGAACATCAAAACTAGTGTCAGTTTTCTTAACCAACGCCGGCGGATCACCAGACAAGCCAACGGCAAATCGGCAATCCAGTTAAGCGGTCAACGGGGCCACGAAATTAAGCTTCCCGCACTACATTTTTCCACGTACCAGTTTGGCTGAGCGTCGGTGAGAACCTGACTCCTCCCATGAAATAGCACATAAGAACAACCCTAAACCCGGCGCAAAACACCCAAAGATGCTTCCTTTTCAGGAGCAGATCATCGCCGACCTCCTCGAAGACCCCAACGGAGGCGTTGTCGTCCTCTCCTCCGGCCTCCCCATCCACTCCCTCGTCGCTTCCCTCCTTCTCCTCCACCACCCCTCCCAAGGCTCCCTCCTCATCCTCTCCGCTTCCGACTCCCAGAAATCCTCCATCTCCCGCTCCCTCCTTCGCCTCCTCCAAAACGATAACCCTAACCCTAACCCATTACTCCCAACCGACATCCCTGGTGACGTTCTGTCCCACCACCGCACCGCTCTCTACGCCAGCGGCGCCTCTTACTTCGTCACGCCTCGTATCCTCATTGCCGACCTCCTCACATCTCGTGTCCCGCCCTCCTCAATCGCCGGTATCCTCATCCTCAACGCCCACCGCCTCACCGATACTTCCACGGAGGCCTTCATTGCCCGCATCCTGCGTTCTCTCTCCCGCAACGCTTATGTTCGTGCACTCACCGACCGTCCTCACGCCATGGTCTCCGGGTTTTCCAAGGCTGAACGAATCATGAAGTGCTTGTACGTGAGGCGGCTCCATCTCTGGCCGCGCTTCCATGTTCTTGTCTCTGGTGACCTCGAGCAGAGTCCGCCGGAGGTGGTGGATATCAGGGTGCCGATGACGCCTGCAATGAGGGGGATTCAGCAGGCTGTGTTGGAGACGATGGATGCTTGTCTCAAGGAGCTCAGAAGGACTAACAAGGTCGATGTCGAGGATCTTACGGTGGAGAATGGGCTATTCAAGTCATTTGATGAGGTTGTGAGGAGGCAGCTTGATCCCATATGGCATACGCTTGGGAAGAAAACCAAGCAGTTGGTCAGTGATTTAAGAACACTGAGGAAATTGTTGGATTATCTTGTCAGGTACCTTCTTTATCTGATAAAGCAGCCTGAAAAAAAGGAATTTTCGTTGGAGTGGACTGGATTGCTATTTGATTTAGATTAATACATCTCACACCAAACGACATCCACATATATGAGTTATGTATTTCCTTGATCATTCTTTAATTGATATTCATAAACTAAAAAAGTAAAATAAAAATTTGGGTAAATTAAGTTGGGGTCATTGGTTGTAAGTCGAATGAATTTAAACAAGCATTTTGTTAAGAAATAATATATTATTTTGGATTTATAGATAGTACAACAACAATGTCAAAAATGGGTGAACAATTAAAAAAATCGACATCCAAGATAATAAAATATTTAAAGTCTATCATAGAAAAAGAAGGAAGCAAAAATTTCAAAGATTAAGAGCACTATCATAATTGGTGGCTACAACAACTATTGGTTTAATTTGTTTTATCATTAAACCGTTCTCAAATCGATTTTTAGCTCTTTTATTTTACTTGTATTAAATCAGCTGGTTTGAATATCTATTAAACCAAAAATTGATTAATGTAAACCTCTATAAATAGATCCCAAATGCCGTAATTAAATTCAAGAAATAAAATTTTGAGTTCCTCTTTCTTTCTCTTATCCTCTTTTGGAGTCCACACCTACTCAAAAAATATCTTTTCCCTCTGAATTTATCAAGAATCTTAAGCTTCTCGATCTACATCAAGAAGGGTAAGACATCTTTTGAGTAGGTGTAGACTCTTTAAGAAAGAAGAAGAGGAACAAGATTGAGTAGAAAAGTGAGAAAATAAAAATTTTATTTCTTGAATTTTATTATT